AAAAAAAAAAAAAAAGAAAAAGAAAAGAAAGAAAGAAATGTGCCTTGCACATTTAGAACTTTCAAAAAATTCTAAATAGGTAGGGTGCGGCGCCTCACACCTGTAATCCTAGCACTTTGGGAGGCCCAGGCTGGCAAATCCCTTGAGCCCAGGAATTTGAAGCCAACCTGGGCAACATGGCGAAACCCCCGTCTCTACAAAAAAATAAAATAAATTAGCCATCTGTGGTGGTGAACATCTGTAGTCCCAGCTATTTGGAAGGCTGAGATGGGAGGATGGCTTGAGCCTAGGAGGCAGGGGTTGCACTGCGCCACTGCACACCAGCCTGGGTGACAGAGCCAGACCCTATCTCAAAAAAAAAAAAAACTATAAATGGCATTTGTTGTTCCACACAGTCTCAATGCTGTTCCATGCATACATATTTCAGATAAGCTAACAGTACCCTTTACAATGTAACTGAAGGGTAGTTTTGTGATGGCAGTACACATCATAAAAGAGGCTTTTGTGACCACTGTTGGTAAAGTCAGAGATAAATACTCAGAAACTCTTCCAGACCTCCAGCTGATTAAAGACAGATCTTCCAGATGCTAAAATCAGAATTCTAAATATTTCTTAAAATCCTAAGAATCAAAATTATACCAACTGCATAAATTCTTTTTTCCCAAATAATATTCCAAAAGTACACTCATTGTTAGGTAGCATTTGAGATAGAATAAATATCTAAAGAAATTCCTTTCTTCACAGACCTAAACATCCTTTGCATGTGATCCAAGAAAGGAAAAAGACAACCATTTTTTAAAAATTCGCTCACTTTCAACTAGCTTTATTTTTTTTGAGACAGAGTCTCACTCTGTCACCTAGGCTGGAGTGCAGTGGCATGATCTCCACCCACCACAATCTCTGCCTCCCAATTCAAGTGATTCTCCTGACCCAGTATCCACAGCAGCTGGGATTACAGGTGCAGGCTACTACGCCTGGCTAATTTTTTTGTTATTTTTAATAGGGATGGGGTTTCACCCCATTGGCCAGGCAGGCTGGTCTCGAACTCCTGACCTCAAGTGATCCGCCCACCTCAGCCTTCCAAAGTGTTGGGATTACAGGCATGAGCCACCTTGCCTGCCTGATCATGGCTTTTATATCACTTGTGTCACAGAGAAAACAGTTTTGTAGCTCAACATTTCCAGGGACAAATTCACGTGTAAATTAGCTTGTTATATAAGGAAAATGGTCTTCCTATTTATATTCATCCTGAATGTAAACCAATAGATCATCCATAGGCCCATCACACAGTGTGATAGCTTCTGCTGAGTTCCTACACATGCCAACAATAGTTAATTGCCTTAATTACTAGAAAATAAAACTGAGAAATTCTGGAGCAACCATTTTACATTTAAACAGCTTTAATATATTTAGGATATGAGCCTACTCAACAGGCTTATAAGTAATAAGTAATTTAAGTCTCTGAGTTGACAGACTCCTCTACATTCATTTCACATACATATAAAATCCAGAAATAGGGCCACGCGCGATGGCTCATGCCTATAATTCCAGCACTTTGGGAGGCCAAAATGGGCAGATCACGAGGTCAGGAAATCAAGACCATCCTGGCTAACACGGTGAAACCCTATCTCTACTAAAAATACAAAAAATTAGCTGGGTGTGTGGTACGCACCTGTAGTTCCAACTACTCAGGAGGCTGGGGCAAGAGAATAACTTGAACCCGGGAGGCACAGGTTGCAGTGAGCCAAGTTGGCGCCACTGCACTCCAGCATGGGCAACAGAGCAAGACTTCCATCTCAAAAAAATGAATAAATAAAAACCCAGAAATATATAGCCAAGATGTTAAGTTACTAAATGTGCCAACAAAAATAAATAGTAGACATCTATTTGACCATTTAGCAGTACTGCAAAGTAACTTATTATGCATATATTAACATGTAGATGCATAATATATGCATGTTATGCATATACATCTGGAGTGGCAGTCACAAAACCCACCACCAAAGGGAAGCAACCACATAAAACTCCTTTTACTTAAAAACCCTAACTTTTATCATCTAATACTAGCAACATCTGATATTAAATTACCTCAAGACTTTCAGGTTATCATGAGAATTTATTTCCCAGGCCTGTTTTAAGCATTAAAAAGCTGATGTAACCAAGAGTATAATCATCAAAATAGACCTGATATGAAAAAAGACAGACATTTACTATCTCCAACAGATGCTCCAGAATTTACTAAGAACTGACCTGCCTAATGACTAGCACCAAACAAGTTGCCACCACACTGATCAACTTCTGGTTTATATAAACTAATATAATAGAGTAACAATCACCATCCTACACCATGTTTATTGGGTACCACTGCATGAGCTAAGAACTTTGTAAACATCATTTTACATAGTCCTCGTAAAAACTGTAAGATTAGCCCCATTTTATATGAAGAAAGTGAGGCTCAAGAAGTTGACCTGCCCAAGGACACAGCCAGGAAACAGTCAAATTCAGGTTTAGCTGGTTTGCAAGCACATGGTCTTTTCACTGTACCACACTGATTTCCACCCTTCTAGTCTGGTCACTGCTTGCAAGTCTACATTAAATGAAAAGTAAGCAAAGGACCATTTCTTTCCTAATTCATAATATGGTAATACTATAGATGTCAGGCACCCTGAAATGGTGTTGTGTTCCTAAGATTTTGACAGAACAAAGAAGATACTGTGAGACAAATCTTCCCTTCTCTGAAGATGACTTGTTGAACCACTTTACACAGACATGGTTCATCTTCCATTTTTATGAGCTACAAGCCACATCATGTGACAGTTTAAAAATTTATTTTCTTTATAAATTAACTTCCAATTAGGTCACCACAGGGTTTTAAAAATCTCCTGAAATTAGGCCGGGCACGGTGGCTCACGCCTATAATCCCAGTGCTTTGGGAGGCCAAGGCGGGTAGATCACAAGGTCAAGAGATGGAGACCATCCTGATCAACACGGTGAAACCACGTCTCTACTAAAAATACAAAAATTAGCTGGGCATGGTGGCGCGTGCCTGTAGTCCCAGCTATTCGGGAGGCTGAGGCAGGAGAATTGCTTGAACCCAGGAGGTGGAGGTTGCGGTGAGCTGAGATCATGCCACTGCACTCCAGCCTGGGTAACAAGAGCGAAACTCCGTCTAAAAAGAAAAAAAGAAAAACTTCTGAAATTAGTCAGAAATAAAAAACTTATCTTGGTGGTTTAGAGTTTATACTTTCTTCTGATAGGACTAATACATCAAAAAGAACAACTTCTAAGGTTGAATTTGTGACCCAGGTAAGAAATTCCAGAGCTTCCAAAATGATACTCTAACCCTCAAATGTTCATGCAAGCATGTGGTTCCAGTTCAACATGGGTAAGTCAAAGAAAATTTCCTCACTTAAATTACTTAACTGGTTTCTTTTCCTTGGCATTGCCAAATATCTATCATTAATAAGCTATAAAATAACAAGGGGAAAAAAAAGAAGGGATAAATATCCCAGAATCCTTAGAGATTAAAATAAACTAAAATTGAAGACTTACACTGTGAAGTACTCTTTCCTTTATATACAAGCAAACGAGCTCATGAAGGTAAAATTGACTACAGTAGGCACTGCCTAATGGTTAAAACCACTAACTATTGTGGCCAGATAAATCTTACTGCCTTAAGTCTTGGCACCCTAAGTCTGCCATTTGGCAGCTATATAACCATTACCATGTAATTTAATCTCTTTGAACCTCAGTTTCCTCACATGCAATATAGGATTAATCCCTACCCCAAAGGCTTACTGTAAAGATTGCTTCGGACAATGTTTAAAATAGTGACTGGCATGAAGCAATTAACCAGTTTCTATTATTTTACTATCCCATAAAGTCTTTGGTGAAGCTGGAACAAGAACTTAAATTCTTAAGTCCAGTTGATGGTCTTCCAAGATCATCATAAAATCTATAATTCCATCATTCCAAAATTTAGAGCTGAGATAACCATTTATAAGACACAGTCATCCATGAATATTTAAGTGGCCTTCAACTGCTTGATCTTAATACGGCAGTTGAAATATTAAAAAGGACACTGAAGGTTTTTCCCAAGGCTATGCTATGAACTAACTGAATAATTACTGATCAGCAACCTCATCTAAGTGGGTTTCAGGTTCATTATACTTAAGTGTGAGAATTCAGCTTAGGTGACTGCTACAGTAACGTCCCTAAAACTATCTAGTTCAGTAATAAACTTCCTTAGGCCAGCCACGGTGGCTGACACCTGTAATCCCAGCATTTTGGGAGGTCAAGGCAGATGGACCACCTGAGGTCATAACTTTGAGACCAGCCTGGCCAACATACAGTGAAACACTGTCTCTACTAAAAAAATACAAAAATGAGCTGGGTGTGGTGGCACATGCCTTTAGTCCCAGTGACTTGAAAAGCTGAGGCAGGAAAATCGTTTGAACCTGGGAGGTGGAGGCTGCAGTGAGCCAAGATTGCACCACTGCACTCCAGCCTGGGCAACGGAGCAAGACTCCATCTCTCAAAATAACAACAAACTTCCTAAATAAAATGAAACCAGGCTCTCACCATTTGACAATTTGCTTCACTACTTGGCAAAATTTTATTCCCTTTATAGGAAAAATAGCAGAAATATTACAGACATTATGGTGTCACAAACATCTTTTCCATAAAAAGCTAAAAACCATTGTACTACATTAGATAATGGAAGACTATACTCTCAACTCTGAAGGCGGTTCTTCAGAGACTGGACCATTCATGTAGCTGCTCATCTCCTCTCCAGGTACTAGAATGGTAGAACACTTACCTTCATCTCAAAAGTAGTAGGTTATTAAAACACTAAAGAAGTTTTGATCCTACTGGACAACCTCCAAGAGAGTGGATATATGGATTAAACCTGAAACATTCCAGACCAAGTTGGAGTGATGAGATTACTCCTTCATGAACTCAAGAATCATGAATACTGTATGTTTCTGCGGAAATTTTGGGGAAAGACTATCTAAATCAAGGTTTTAAACAAGTTGCGGTTTCCTGCTTTAGCACACACAAATAATACTGGATGTAGGAGCAATTTGTCAGGAAGATAAAGCCAAATGCTGAAAAAATAAAAATTTTCTTCTTGAAAGTTGTCATTTAAACGTCTTCTGTTTTCTTGTCAGAAAGTAAAGATTTGTTATAAACCTGTTTAGGACGTTGTCACTACAGAGAGGAAACAGCTGATACTAAAATACTCCAACACCTGGTGATCCAATAGAGCAGTACTTGTTGGATTCCTATAAACACTTGAAAGAAACAACTCAACATATTGACTTCAAATAACTCGTTTGCATTTAGAAAATTTTGATCCAATAAACAAAAAATCAGATTCTTCTGGATTAGCAACAAGTATTTCACTGATCTTAGTTCTTCAACACAGAGCTCAAGACATCCAGGGATACATTTCACTCCAATGGGATACATCCCAAAAAGCAAAAAAGCAAAATTTTCTGGGGAAATGAATTCCATATAAATATCAAGGAACGAGTTACTGGTTAACTCAGTGGCACCTAGAGGATACTTACGAATTTGTGTGCAGATATTCAAAGGTTAGCTGAGCTCGATTCAGACTGCTGTAATTTGTGAAAGCCATGACTGCAATGAGGTCTCCAGCCCTTCACCCACTAGCTGGGAAATATAACCCTAAAATGAAATCAGCTTCCCAAGATTCTGTCCAGTAAAGCTTCAGTCTGTGCTCCTTAATGACAGTTAAAGTAACTAGTAACTATCCAAAATATATGCAAATAAATGTTTAAAACTACAATTTCTTCAAGTTTTTTTAAATCTTCTCAATGATTACGATGTAATATTTCAGAAAGAACTATGTCATAAATCCGTAGTTTTAAGGAGCTTTTAGCATTAAGTTGCGATAACTCAATTCAGAAAATCTGAGTCTCGTGTGGATGGTCCTGGAGATGGTCCTTGAGAGGGTGGTTTATGACTGCTCCATCTTCATGTTCTTCATGCCTTTTTTGGTTCCCCTAAATTTCCTGTCAGGAAGTTTACCAATCTGGAAATTTACCCACTTCTATCAGAAAACTGATCAGCCATATCTTCGCCACACGTGATGCCAGGATCCTTAAACAGGCCCAAGACCGGTGACCAAGATGTCGATGGAGTGTTATATGGCGCTAGTTGAGGCTTCACCACCTCCCAGCTGAAAAAGCTCCTAGGTGCTGATGATTTTTTTTTTTCAAAGCCCGACCAAACCCGGCTGAGGGTGGCAGTCAGATTTCCTCACACGGGCTCACAGAAACACCTCACAATTGACTCTCCCAGAGCACCTCGGGCGGGGCGCGCCCCTCCCCCACGTCCCTCAGACAACAGCCTCAGCCTCCCAGGCCCTTCCCTGGCCTCGGTCCCGTGGCGGCCTCCTCAGGAAGAGGAGCTACTCCCGGCTTTCAAGGACCGGATCGAAGGCAGTGGAGAGCGCACCACCCGACTGGGCACTACCCGGAGCTCACAACTGCCTTTGTCCCTCCCCGCGGAATTGGAACCCAACAGCCGCAGCGCGCTCTTGGAACCATGTGCTGCTGCCGCCTCCTCCGCCGCTGCCGCTGCCGCCGCCCGCGCGCCGCACTGAATGAGACGGTGACAGGACTCAGCAGCAACACGAAATTCGGCGTTTAGAGCCGCTCTGCCGCCGCAGTCACAGACACCACAGCCACTGCTTTGTCTCCGCTAGTGCACACAGCCCCGGCCACCTCGCGCACTCCCCGACGCCCCAAACCCCCGAGGCCTCCGCGGAGCATTCAGCCAATCATAAAGCTGAATCTCCTCCCGCCCCCGCCCTGATGTACAGCCTCCTGATTGGCGGGCTGCGTATCCCCATGTGACCGGATCTTGGTTGGCCGGTCCCGCCCATGTCACGTGAGAGCGTGCGCCTCTCTTCCTGCTTTCCTGACCCTCTCCGCCATTTAAAGAAACAGTACCGGGGGCGGGCCGAGCGACGCAGCCGGGACGGTAGCTGCGGTGCGGACCGGAGGAGCCATCTTGTCTCGTCGCCGGGGAGTCAGGCCCCTAACTCGAAGAAGCCCTGGCGCGCCCTCCCCCCCTCCCGGGTCTGGTAGGGCGAAGGAACGGGCGTGCGGTCGATCGAGCGATCGGTTGGCGGCTCTTTCTCCTGCTCTGGCATCCAGCTCTTGGGGCGCAGGCCCGGCCGCCGCGGCGCGCGCCCGGTGGCCGTTGGCGCTCGCGCCGCGTCTTTCTTCTCGTACGCAGAACTCGGGCGGCGGCCTATGCGTTTGCGATTCGACGAGGAGTCGTCCGGGTGGTCGGCGGCGGCGGGCAGCTGCTCCGCCCCGCCCCGGGGGAGGCTGCGGCTGCAGCGGCCGCGGGATTTGGAGCGGCCGGGGAGGCGGGGGTGGCCGGAGCCGGCCTGGAGGCCTGGCGCCACCCTTCGGGGCCTGCAAGGACCCAGTTGGGGGGGCAGGAGGGGGCTGGAGGATGGTTGGTTGTGGGATTTCTACTTTGTCTTTTCCTCCTTATGCCGCCTTAGTGAGGTGCGGGAGCTCTGGCGGCAGCCCCGGGGTGGGGAGAGGAGCTCCGGAGTCGGAAGAGCTGGGTTTGCTTCCGGGCCTAGCCACCAGCTGGCCGAGTGACCTTAGGCGAGTCACTCTGTAATTTGTCTGCGCCTCAGTTTCCTCCTCTGCCTATCAATGTGTGTGGAATTGAAAGCGCTTTGTAAACTATAAAGCGTGGGTGTATGTAAAAGATGGTTATTGTTTGTAATGTTTTTTTTGAGTTGTAAGAAAACTTAGCAGTGGCCCAATCCTTGGGTTTTGAACCTGGGAATCTTGGATGGGAGTTGGGGATCCCCAAACTCCCTGAAATTGTGGGAATGTGCGTTTTAGGGAAATGATGATCCATCGCTATCGAGTTTTCCAAGGGAGCTGTGTGACTCAGAAGAGTTAAGAATCACAATTTCTTCATACTACAGAGAGGAAACTGAGGCCTAGATGTCATTTGGGACCCTTCACAACCAATTTGAAGCCCCTGTATGAGTCCCTGGGATATGTGAGCTGTTTCTATGCATAATGGATATTCGGGGTAACAACAGTCCCCTGCTTGGCTTCTATTCTGAATCCTTTTCTTTCACCATGGGGTGCCTGAATGGTGGCTGATGCATATGGTACAATGGCACCCAATGTAAAGCAGCTACAATTAGGAGTGGATGTGTTCTGTAGCATCCTATTTAAATAAGCCTATTTAATCTTTGGTCCGGCAACTGTTTTCTGCTTCTTGTACTGGTGCCTGACTACCTTTCCGACTCTTCATTGACCATTTTCCACGACCATGGTTGTCATCCATTACTTGATCCCACTTCGTATGTCTAGTCTGTGTGGTTGGTGGTGAATAGGCTTCTTTTTACATGGTGCTGCCAAGCCCAGCTAATTAATGGTGCACGTGGACTTTGGCTAGCAGGCTCACTGGAAGAGACTGAATCAGGCACGGAATTCCTGAAGATGTTTGGGGTTTTTTTCTTTCCTAATTGAGGGTTAACATTCTCTGAAAAGTTTTGTTAGAACTACTGCAGAACCTCATAATCAGTAGATTTGGAAGTGATTAAAAGCTTAACTTTTTCTTTGGCCCTCCATGTGTTCTAATTGCTTGCAAGTATAATACTAAGTTGTCCTAGATGCCAGTTTTTGCTTCTTTGTCAATTTGCAGCTGCGTTTATCAAATTTCAGCCCATTATCCAACAAACACTATAAAAATGTTTGAACAATCGGATTACAAACATTTTCATTTTGTGGAGTGGTGCTCACCAAGTGGTACAGCTCTAAGCAAGTGAACACAAACACATTTAAGTGTATTTGTCTGATTAGATGTTAGCCAGTTACGCTATTTCATTCAAATGTCTGAAAAAATCAATTGACTATTCCCTTTTCCTAAAGGGCAGAGACAATCTCACTTCCAGAGAAATGACTGTTTTGGAGAAGAAAAAAAAACCTGTTGGTCTTTTAGCTCTTTTGTAGTTAAATCTGGATGTACCTCAAAAGACAAGACTGTGGTGATAAGATGATTTCCTCAGCGGAAAGGAGGAAAAAAGACAACTGGAACTCAAAGCTTGAATTCTGTGGCAAAACATGAGATGTCCAGGATTGGATGTTGAGAAGATTTCACTACAGTGTTCTGCAATAGTTGGAGCAGATAACTTTCAGTGTAGCCACAGCCATGGACTCCAGATTTCCAGATTTTCAAGAACTGGACCTGGAACCTGAAAGAGCTTGTCAGGATGTCGCAGGAACACTGGAGGTAGATTATTTTTTTTATTTTTGAATTTTGGGACTGTTGACCTTGCCGTGAGAAAAGAGACAACGACTGAGCAAGCACTACCACCAGCACTGTTACTGGGAATTAGAAGACCTGAGTTTCTGTCCAGACCCTCAGTGCAAACTGAGGATGCTCCATCCAAAGCGAATTATGGTACTTGCCATTTTCCAAAATGCCTTATTCTTTACTATCTCTGCACTTTTGTTCATTCTCTCTACTTTGGAAATGGCTCCTCTCTGGCTTTTCATCTGTCAAAATTCTGCCATTTTCTCGGTATCCAACTCAGATGCTCTCTTTTCCGTGAGTCTCCTAACTAGCCAGAATAGAACTTTTAAGTTTTATGTCATTTTGTTATGTATCCTCTCTTTGTATACAAAATCCCGTAAAATAATTACTTGCCTGCATTTGCTGTCTTTGCAGATAGCAGACTCCTTGAAACCAGGGTCCTTGTTTAGTGCATCTTTGCCCACATACAGCACAACATACCATGAAGCATTTATTAGGAAGGAGGAGTTTAGAGAGCAGGCTATCAGAATAAGCAGCCAGTAAGTGTTTTCTTAATTGCTGTCTGTTAAATAAAATTACTCTTAAGGAGAAGAAAAGTCACTAGATATGGGTCATGTTTATGTTTTATTATTTTTTAATTGTAAATTTTGAAAGATCTAGGGATCCCTCAGACATAAGGAGAAACCAATATGTTGAATGGGGTATTATATACAGAAGGACCAAGACCTTATTCTCTCCTACTTAAGATGGAATCCTAGGATGAATGCTAGGACAGTTTTTTAAAAAGGAGCTTTTTAATTTGAGGAAAGAGAAGGAGGGGCAGTATCTCCTTTTTTTAATTGTTGGTATATAAACTTAGAATCTCAGTTCTTTTTATGCCACTTGTGGAGCCACTTTCTCATCCCCATCGAAAAATGCCCAGCAGCCTGAATCCAGTCAAGTTACTTCATTCAAAAGTACAAAGTTTAGTTTCTGTTTGCCACTTTGCAACAATCAGGCTTTTGTGTTTTCTTTTTTGGATTGTTGTTATTTGTTTTCATTTATCATTTGTCATTGCCTAAACCCGGCTCATCAAGAATTAATAGCCATCAGGCTGCTGATGTGCTGGCAGCAGACCCACTTAGAGTCCTGTGTTTGTAGTTCCATGCATTTGTTATCTTACCTGTTTTATCCCTGCCCATTCTAGTCTTGTGCCTCCTGATTGCTGAGTGTTCACCTGGACCTTCTGACTACCTTCCTTGTGCTATTCCATCAGCCTACAGACCCTACAGACCTGGTACCTGGATTTTTGCTGAAGATGATTCCTACCACCTTACTACTGAAGAAGACACCCATTCCATTGGACCACTGTGACTCAGGAGGCATTCAGCCATCATGATGTGGCCTCTACCTCCACTCCTGTTCTGTTCTACCCAGATTCAGCACAGCCCTTTATAGTGAAGTCCGAGTCCTCAAGCCAAATAGCTAAAGCTGTTTTATCACAACAAAGGCCTAGTTTGTTCCATGAGTGTACATTTCTTCAGTTAAAGCCTTCAGAGACACACATAAATTTGGACCAGGGGATTTTTTAGTTATTAATGCTATTTGAAGAAAAGCAACGTCTTTTTGAGAACAGCATTGGACCGTACCACACAATCTCAAATGATTGAAATTCATGAACATCTAGGATCCCATGAAGGTCACTGCACCCTGTTTTTTCTACTTCAAATCCTGTACTAGCCTATTGAATGAGAAAACATATTCTGACCCATTGGGACCAAATCAAAGGCACAAAGAACTCCTCATAGCATCTTCTTTGGAATTACTCAGGAACCAGAACTTTTTACACAAATGTGAGAAATTCCACCAAGGAGTCCCCTTACCTAACAGCATCTCACAAGGCTGCATCAGATTCCAGAAAAGGCTTCTCTTGATACATCAAGGTAGAACCTCTATGGTAAATCCCCTCTGTTTATATAGCACTTTACAGTTTCAAGGCACTTGTACATACATTTATCTCAATTATCAAAATACCTGTGAATTATAGTCGCTTTTTGCAAATGAGAGAATATAAATTTTAAAAGTTAAGCAGTTATCCAAAGTGACACAGTTAAGAAAGTGGTAGAGGCCAGGCTTTCTGACTCCCTGTTCAGTACTCTCCTTGGAATTAGCCTCCATTTTGCCCAGTGTTAAAATGACTGGGTATTGGGAACCTCAGGAAATTTTCCGGCTTCCTGATCTGGTGCCCCCAATCACATAGGATGTCATAAGTGTGACCTTGTGACAGCTACATCTAGACCAAAATCCCATGGTGATATCCCCAAGGTTTAGGGGTATACTATCTCCATGGTGGAAGACTGTCAAATCAGAAAGGGACATTTTCTAACAACAAAGCTACCCAACATGAAACAAAAAGCTGCTTGTAGATTTTTTAAGACTTACTAATACTCCTGGGCCCTAAGAGCTTATCTGTGGTCCTCTCTCTGCAAACTAATATTTACACAAAATGAGCTGCCTGGTTTTTTAAGGCAGTACCCTGTGCGTGTGTGTATGAATGACATGGAGAAAGCTTCTGTTACCTAGTAAGACAGTATAATACGTAAGACATGTCCCTTCCCCCAGTTTACATTGAGATATAGTGTATTAAAGAAGACTTGCAGCAAATTACTACTGCTTCTATGCTTAAATTCAGAAATCTAGTTTTTTTTAAAACACTTGCAGCAAAGAGTTCCATTTTGCTATTTAACCCGTTGTGTCCTAAGTTTAATCAAACACAGAAGGGTATTTTTTGCATCATTCCATCTAATGGAAT